TCATATATCAAAAGAGGGTGCCTTGATCAGCTGCTAAATTACATTTTTGGTTTACTTTCTGAATCCTTCATTATAACATGGTGTTAAAAAATAACTTTTAAACCTTCACCAGCAAGAGATCACAAGAAAGGTGATGTTCTTTCTGTAGAAGGTAGGCCCTGATTTCTCTCTTGGTGGGGGTTCAGGGACTTTGGTTCTATGTGTTTGGACTTAAGATCAAAAGGATAAAATCTAGTTTGTAGACAGATTATCATTCTGTTAAAACTCCATTTTTTATAATGAAACTCCTCTGCACAACTACTTAAAGATAAAAAATAAATAACATTTCTACCTGGTGAGTTGGAGATCCAGCTGAGTTAAATACATTGGGAGGGAATAGAGTTTTCAAGGCTCAGTGCTTACCAAACTTTCTTTTCCTCTCTGGACTGCCTTTTCCAGACAGCCTTTGAGGGTGGATGGGACACTTGACTAATTTCTGGATAAGGGAATGTGGCAAAAGGGCATGTGTATATCTTCTATACCTTGTCCCTAAAATTCTTTATGGCCCTCGACCTTTTTTCTCATCAGTCCCCTGCCAGGTGATAGATCCTGGAGAAGAACCAGGGGAAGGTTCAGAGACCCTTGGATTGGGGGGTTTCCAGATGGAGGGAGGCCCACTCCTTGAGGAATTCTATAGGATTAAAAACTTAGTTCTTTACCTGCCTTCCATCCATGTCAGTTCTGTGAGGAGCAGGAAATGAGCCATTGTCATGGTTAGATACTGAAACTATGTATTTGCTAGAGAGTTTAGCTGAACAAACCACTAAAAAGGTTTGCAATAGTAGGTGTTCAACGAATGTTAGTATGGTTTCCTCTTGCTCCCTAGTAAGCACACCGTGTGGGAGCCACTCTGGGAAGTCTGCTGTGAGGGGAGTTGTAGAGTTGGTTCAAGTTGAGCCTTTGAAATGAGCCAGGAATGAGGCAGGGAAGCCCAGCACATTGTCACTGGCTCCTGATGGCCCCAGGGGACGGAGTCCTGGGTGCCATGGGCCCAAGGGCCCGTGGGCTTGCCTTCAGTGGCTAGTGCTTTCCAGCTTCCTTCCTCACAGCTCCTACTCCCCAGCTTGGGGGAGAACACGCACCCAGCCATTCCTCGCTGGCCTCTCCTCACTGCCCTCATGTGATATGGGGCCACAGGAGGCAGCATGGAATGGGGTGTGTGTGTGGGGGGGTGGTCTGTTTCATTATTCTAAACATTCTCTAGGCAGATGAGGAAGGGCGAGGGGTTTTAGGCAGAGGAGGACATGGCTTGATTTGTATTTTAGGTTTCTCTGGCTGTTTGGTAGTGGCTTGGAGTAGGAAGGCTGACTGGGTGGGAGGTAGAGGGGGCAGTAGGCTCCTGTCAGAGGCTACCCTAGAGATGGGGGACGGTGTCACCCACATTGACACTGAGGCTTTGCCAGAGGTAGTGGCTGTGTAGATGAGAAGTCAGAAGGAGCGGTAGTGATCTGCAGTTCAGATCGGATAATAGGGCATTTGGAAGGACCATTGTGGAGGGGGGCAGTGTTGAAGGCGAAGGGAGAAGACCAGCAATATCTGATTGTGAGAGGCTGGGGGACAGGACCTTGGCCTGTCACACTCACCCTTCACTGTGTGGGTCCTGGCATGGAGCTGCTTCCCTGGGGAGAAAGCCCTTTCCACTCTTCCTGGAGCTCCATGTGGACTCTGCCCAGCAAAAACTCTCACCCTGGTGGTTCCCTCCAAGGAATGTCCTGGAACATCAAGGAGTCAGCTGGGAGACTCCTCCTGAGGTTGAGGTCAGCAAGGTTGAGGCTGTCCTAAGAAGGGGGTGGTAAGAAGCTATGCTCCCTGACCCATGCCCCAAGGGGAACCCCTGGAGGAGAAAGGAAGATGGAAGAAGATGGAGGAAGGTAGAGGAAGGAAGAGGAATCTGGAAGCTGGAAGAAGGTAGAGGAAGGCAGAGGAAGTTGGTAGAAGATGGTGGAAGATGGAGGAAGAAGGAGGAAGAAGGAGGAAGAAGGAGGAAGGTGGAGGAAGGTAGAGGCAGGTGGTCAAAGATGGTGGAAGATAGGAGAATATGGAGAGTTCTACTTGGAAGGTCTGACTACAATCCTCCTGCTTCTGTCCTTCCTTACAGCAAAGGTGTATGCCGATACCATTCCTATCTTCTTTGTCAAGATGCCAGTATTGGGACTTAAACTCAGGGCCAGGATGCTCTCTCTTTTCTTTTTTGCTCCAGGATGGAGCTCTTCCATTTGAATTACATCTGCATTTGGGGCTTTTTGCCCATTAATTGGAGACAAAAATCTCACAGGCTTTTCTGCCCAGGCTATCTTTGAATGATGAATCTGAAATCTCAGCCTCCTAAGTAGCTAGGATTACAAGTGTGAGTCACTGATGTCTAGCTCCTATGGATTCTTCCCCCCCCCCCCCACTGGTCCTGGGGCTTAAACTCAGGCCTTGGGTGCTGCTCCCTTTTTTTTTTTTTAATTCTCAAGGCTAACACTCTACTACCTGAGTCACAACTCCACTTCTGGCATTTTGGTAGTTTACTAGAGATGAGAACTTTCCTTTGGCTTTGAACTGTGATTCTCAGATCTCAGCCTCCTGAGTAGCTAGGAATACAGATGTAAGACCCTGGTGCCAAGCTGACTTGTATAGTTTTAATGTGTCATGAAGTATTCTTTTCTGGAATTATTTCCGATAACTAATAGACATCCTTAGCTCACAGCCTCTGGAGAGCCAGGTTAAAGGCAACTCTGCCCTGCAGACACGCCATTGCCCGTGTCTGCTCTGTCTGTGAGAGCAGAGCATTGGCACAGCTGCTCGATTGTCATGTCCCATTTTCTTCCTTCACAGGCTTCCCTGAAGGAAGGCACGCAGCCCCTTTTCCTGGGCTTATGTAATGCTAGCACTGAGGCTCGCGGGTGTGGTGGAAGAAACCTGTGTGGAGAAGGCTGTTGAGTTGTGAAGCAAAGCGTTTCGTGGTTCTGTAGGTGTGGAATCTCTAAAACCAGGCGAGATAATGGTTCTGAGGAGAAGCAGTTTAAAAACAGTTCTAATTGTTCAGGCAAGTTATTTTTACCAGACTTAGGGGACAGATAAGTGATCACATTGTTATTATTTTTATCAATTATATTCCAAGAAGCTCTTTAGTGAAGAGTGTTTAATTACCACACTTTACTTTCAGTCAAGCGAAGAAAAAAATTCCTCATATTAGTCCCCCTATGGTTTATCCCCTGTTGTCACTGTATTGGATTTTGGTACCCTAGGTATTATATATACATTTATCTGAACTAGGGAAGGGAAAGGAACAACAAAATGGCAAGACCAAGGACAAAGTGGCACCTCTGTAACAGCAATACTCATAAGACCATATGTTGGAAATGATCTTTACAACTTGGGGAAATGGGGGAGGGAAGGAGGGAGAAAAATGAGGGAGGGGGTAACAAGTTTGACAAGAAAGGTACTCATTACCTTACTTATGTAACTATAACCCCTCTGTACATCAGCTTGACAATAAAATTAAAATAAAAAAAAGTGAGTGAGGGAAGGAGTGGGTAGGGGAGGGATGGGCGAGGACATTGAAAAGGGTGACATTGATTGAGATAAATTGCATTCATAAACTTCTTTGTTAAATGGCAGCTCCATGCACTTAAGGATAATAAAAGTAGGGGCTGGGAAGATGGCTCAGTGGTAGAGCGCTTGCCTTGCATGCATGAGGCCCTGGGTTTAATTCCCCAGCACCACATAAGCAAAAAGAAAAAAAAGCCAGAAGTGGCGCTGTGGCTCAAGTGGTAGAGCGCTAGCCTTGAGCTGAAGAGCGCTAGCCTTGAGCTGAAGAGCTGAGGGACAGTGCCCAGGCCCAGAGTTCAGGCCCCATGACCGGACCCCCCCCCAAAAAAAGGATAATAAAAGTATATACCAAAATATGCAATAGTTACAATGTTACCTATAATTCTCCCAAAAAACTAGAGATTGTGATGAAAGTAGCAGATATGATTGCAGTAGACATCATGAACCTGGAGAGGCAGCTGGTGCAGCAGTGGGGAGTCTCTCAGCTTTTCCTGCCAGGGTTGGCTTTGAACTCAGATCTCAGCCTCCTGAGTAGCTAGGATGACAGGCATGAGCCACTGGCTTCTGCTCAATTCTTACCATGGGCAAATGATAAAGAAGGCTGATTTCTTTGCACTGTTTGATCGCTTAGACATTGCACCTCATTGCATACACCACAGTGGGCTGAGGCTCTGGTCCATTTTTACATAGGCCACCCCAGTGCATGCCCGCCTAACTTCTGCCATGACAAAGACCACTGACAGATCTGGGGTGTCAAGCTTCTGTGCCTAAATGCTGCCACGCCTGGTTAAAGCACATCCTCAGGCCCTGTTAGCCTCCGTTTCCATTTCTGTCACTAAAGCCTTACCTATAGGAGCCACAGTACCTTTCGTCCCTTCCCAAATTCATATTGCGAAAATCCCAATTCTCAGGGACCTGGTCGCTCCTGGGACAAGCAGAGCAACTGGGTTGCGCGAGCATGCATGCGCATGAAAGGGTGTGTGCATTGTGTGGTGTGTATGTGCATGCATGTATGTCCATGTGTGGATACGTGTCTAGGTATGCGTGTGCATGCGAGTGGTGTATGTGTGCGCGCGTGTGTATGTCTGTGTGCGCGCGTGTCCCTGGTGGCCACTTCCCTGCCTTCCTTGTTTGGAGTAAACTTTGGCGGCGCGGCGCAGTTTGCTTTCCGTGGTGGCGCGGGCGGTGCTGGGGGGAGCTCTGCGCCTAGCTCCTAGAGGAAGCAGGGCGCCACCGAATCCCAGCCGCTCCCCCGGGGTTCCCGAACGCCGCCTGCCTCCGGAGACGCCAGGGTGAGGCGGGGATGGAAAACAGTGCGCGGGCTACGGAGGCTCTGGGGGAGTAGCGAGGCCGGGCGGCCGCCTCCCCACCCGCACCCACGGGGGCCTCGCTGCGTTCCCGCGCCCCGAGCACCTCCGCTCCCCTCCGAACGTGCCGGCCATGGCTACTAAGGCTCCTTGACGTCCCTGCCGAGGCCCGCGCTCCGCTGCTGTCACTGCGGGCACAGTGCGCCAGGGATCAGGACCGGGATCGGGGCGCGCGGGAAGAGGCGCACGGAGCCCGGGGATCGGGACGCGCCCGGCGCCCGGAGCGTCCGGATCCGAACTCGGACCCGCCGGCCCAGTCATGAGCGACGCTAGCAGCAGGAAGGAAGGCTTCAAGAAGTGCCGGAGCGCCACGTTCAGCATCGATGGCTACAGCTTCACCATCGGTGAGAACTTCCGCCTGGCTCCCGGCTTAGGAGCGCTATGGCTTAAGCGGGAGAGGGTGGATGGGGGTCCCGGAGGAGGGGATCCATGCCCGCCTGCCCTCTGGGCAACCCTAGCTGGGCACCCCGCTGGACCAGGTGTTCTGCGCTACCCCTTCCTCGCTGTGGTGAGAGGAGGGTAGGAATACGGAGGGAGGCGCGACAGAAAGTGACAAGAAGACCCCAAGGCAGAAATCCAGAGGTAGAGACAGCATGACAGACCAGGAGACACAGGACAATGACTTAGAGGAAGGGGAGCATTGAGTCCCGGGGAGACAGCAAGGCAGGGGGGCAGGGACAAAACCTGGGTGACCCAAATACTTGAGTAAAAGCTGTGCTGTGTGGTGAAGTCTCCTTTTTCCCCCCTGCTCTGGGGCTCCCAGGCCCTCCTGCCCCAAGCTCCACCGGAAGCAGAGAGTACTCAGTAAAGACCCTCATCACCAGGCCCTGAGCCCTGCTTCCTCTGCTTACATCTGGCCTTGGAGGCGAAGGGAGCTCTTTGGCACTTTGGGGGGCACTCAGGAGCCTAGCTCTCAGGGTCTCCCTAAGCCTTGGGAAACAGGGCGAAGGTTTCTTTGCTTCTTGGTAGGTTTGCAGTAGTGGGAGTGGCAGGCAAGGAAAACAGAGGATGGGCAGCTCCACCTGGGCCACTTTTGCTTCTAATGAGGTGGTCCTAGAACCCTGGGCATGGGCTGCACCCCCTTCCTTCCTCAAAGACAGTGACTTACACCCTCAGACTTTGCCCAGGCCAAGCCTGCAATCTTGTCTGCCTTCATGTGCTGGTATCACTTGCCTCTCCCCAGCTCTGTCTGGGCCAAGGCCCCATTGCACTGTATCCTGGGAGCTTCCCAGCAGAGCTCCTGCCCTGTCTGAACTTCCTGGTCCACAGCTACTGGCAGTTCTCTTCCCACTGCGAATTTCTTGAGTCTGATTCTAGGTAACTTCATCTCTCACCCTCCAGCTAAGTAAAGATGAGTAAAGGCTTTCCAAGAGCAAATGTATTTCATTCAAAGGTCATTTTAGCTGACACAGGTGGCTCACGCCTGTAACTCTAGCTACTTAGGAGGCTGAGATCTGAGGATTCCTTTAGAAGGCAGGCCTGGCAGGAAAATCTGTGAGACTCTTAGCTCCAATTAACTACCAAAAAGCCAAAAGTGGAGCTGTGGCTCAAGTGGTAGAGCATTAGGCTTGAAGGAAAAAGCTCAGGGACAGTGCCTAGGCCCTGAGATCAAGGTCTAGGACCTGCACACACAGACACACACAGACACACAGACACAGACACACACACACAGACACACACACACAAGAACATGGTATTGGTTTTCTTGGCTCTGGAAGGAAAAATTTCAGATATGTATTTTTAGCTTTTCTTAGGTAGTTTCTTCCAGTCTTATCTTCCTCAAAGTGTGTTTTCTAAAAAGTGGGGTCATCCTCCTCTGAGGACCCCTCCCTCCCTTCAGAAGAGAGGGGCTGCAGGTGGCTTGCTGCTAGTCAGAGGGACCCCAAGGGAGTTGATTACTTATAGATAAACAGCTGCCAGGTTTTTCATTCTGCCCTTCCTCCTTCACCCCACCCTTCAAGGAATGCTTATTCAATCTTACTGAAAAAAAATACAATGTAGTAACATGCATGCATGTGGCAAACTTTCAGTCCAGTGTAATTGTGGCAATCATTTAAGGCACTAAGCCAATAGATGGGAAATTAGGGAGACAAATGGGGGTTTTAAGCCCTGTGTTCAGAGAATTTTCAACCTTTGGGGTGAGGTGAGGTGAGCACACAACTATTTTACAAAGCAGAATTACTTTAGGCTAATATAGTCATTGTGGAAAATACAAGTAATCAAAAAGAAAATCACTAATTTTCTAACTCAATGCTAACCATTAGTATTTCTGCACAAATACATTTGGGGGGGCAAAAAATCAATCATGGTGATTAATGATATCTCATTAGCTTTGCTTCCTGCTATAATAAGGTATTTAATCAATCTCCTATTGTTGGTACTTAGGCCTTTCATTTTTACCATAATGAGCAATGATAAATATTGAAATCCCTGAATACATCCATGAATACTTAGCTATTACTGATTAGTTCCAGAATATTCTGTACCTTTATATACAAATACCATGTGTATGTGTATGTATGTGTGTTTCTGTATAAGTGTGTGAGTGAGATCGGTGCTTGCTAGGCAGGCACTCTACCACTTGAACCATGCCCCCAGCTCTAGCGTCTACAGTTTTAGGAACTGTAGCCTGTCAATTTACTCACCCTTCTCAGTGCTGGCCACCATCATTTCAAACAAGGTTGGAGGTGGATGGCTGGGTCTCAGAGGTCTCACACATTATTTTACCTCTTTCATAAAACTGCTTTTCTATTTCTTTTTCAACTATGTTTACTGTCTGGGGGGTGGGTAGGCTTCATCATTTACTAATTTCCAAGAACTCTTAATCTCGCTGATATATGATGCATTCCATGTAGTCATGATGAGTGCATTAATGAACATATCATATAATTAAATAATACTCATATTAATAGACATATGTAGATGTGTGTATGTGTATATATGGATATACACATACATGCATACACCTATACATGTGTGTATAGTACACATCTACATGTGTGTGTCTGTATGCACATGCATATGGAACTTGCACACACTTGCAAGCACTATGAGATGTGTTTGGTACAAATCTCTCTTCTAAGCAGGAGGACTCCTGTCCTTGCAGACTGGGTATATGGCTGGCAGTGAGGACTCCTGTTGTCTCCACATCTGTCCTGGCAGCTGTGGGTACAGGATGGGCAGGTGGACAGGTGCCTAGTGCTCTGTGGCAAAGCATCATGAGGAGGTCCTGTAGTCCCAGATCTCCTTTCTTTGTATAGCCCTGGAGAGACCTGAGAATCTTCCAGAGGAGGGCCTATGCAGACAAGGGGGGAGGTCTCAATGGGGGCTTCTGAGGGTAGGTGGTGGTGGGGTGATCCAGCTCCAGGTCCTAAGCACACTCTCCTTGGAGGCTCCTGACCAGTCTTGTCCCTCAGGAGTGACATCCCCAGGGACATCTGGACAGCCATGGAGCATCTTTAAGGGCCACCACTGTAAAGGGGACCTAGAGACAGCCTAAAATAGGTGAGCAGAGGTCAAGACTTTAAGAAGGCCAGCCCTTCCCAGTGAGGAGTGACCCGCATCCCAAGGGCACCCTGTCCTGGGACACCCTATGTGGGACAGCTCCACCAACGCCACCACGGGGAAACTCCACCAGGGACCCTTTCCATGGGTTTTTTTTTGGGGGGGGTCCGGTTATAGAACCTGAACTCTAGGCCTGGGCGCTGTCCCTCAGCTCTTCAGCTCAAGGCTAGCGCTCTACCACTTGAGCCACAGCTCCACTTCAGCTTTTTTTCTTTTTGCTTATGTGGTGCTGAGGAATCGAACCCAGGGCCTCAGGCATGCAAGGCAAGCACTCTACCACTGAGCTACCTTCCCAGCCCCGGGACCCTTTCCATGGAAGTCTGGAGCCCCTGAACCTTCCATCCCTGACTGGGTTTGCAGGCAGCACCTGGCTGGGCTCTCCTGAGAATGATCGGCCCTGGTGGAACGGGCGGGTGGTGCCAGGCACCATGTCCCCGGGCTTGCTCATCTCTTTTGCTAATTGGGAAAGGCAACCATTCTGACCTCATTCAGAAATAGGCACCCCAAGACTGAGAGGAGGTAACTCACATCAGAAAGAAGTGGCAGGAGTAGGTTCAAACCACATCTGTGCTGGCCATCATCCAGGGATTCCCCCCACTCCACACTGGGTGTTGTTTCTGCGGGATCTTTGGGACAGACAGCTCATCACCTCAGTGAAAAGAGACCTCAGGGGTCCTCAGATCTGTGGCGTAGCCCAGTGAGTGAGACCAGAAAGAGCAGAGACAAGTGCTCTAGCAGGACCGGCCCTGTGCCTGGAGGAAGATGGGCAGAGAAACACGCTCCTTGGCCTGGTTGCCATGAGGCTTCTGGTTCTGGCCTCCCTCAGGGCAGGTGACTTTGGCTTTTCTTTGTATGAATTTCTCAGGTCATGAGATGGGTATGTGGTATATGACCATATACCCAGCTGAGCCAGAAGAACTTGGCTCAGCTTCCATGTGCAGGACATCTCTAGTGTGGCTGGGGCCTGCAGTGAAGGCTGGGTCTTGATGTCCCCCTGTGCTGGGGTGGGGTGAATGCACATTTGAATAGGAGGTGAGTGGAGATGTGCAGAGTACTATCTTGTTTTTTTCAGAGAACCTTCCCAGTGTTCTTCCTATGGGGTTGCTAGTGAGTTGATTCACAGCCTCTTGCTTTCTTGCTCAGGCGGCTTGAACCTTAATACCCTCTCCTCACCCCCAGGGTAGACTGTGTGCAAAAACACCACTTGTGTTGTGATTCTCCTTTCTACAGAGGGGAGTGGGGTTCTGCTGGTTTTCCCTCTCCTCTGTCCAGGGAGTTTGGGGCTGCAGGCGTGGAGGGCGGGAGGGTGGTGGGATGCAGCTCTACTTCTCTCAAGACGGTGGTGGTGTAGAAAATGCCAGTCCTGTTCGGAAGAAGTGTCATTAACGGAGCCATTCATGTCCTGTAGCAACTGCCTTGCCTGCATGTGTTTCATTCCTTAGATTGTCCCAGAGGAGGAAAAATAAGGTTCCCTAGACAGGTGTCTCAACGCCAAGGGCCAGGAGGGAGGGCTCCCTGTCCCCCTCCCAGGCTGAGGGAAGGGGACTGCTGTGGATACTTTTCCCAGAGGCCATCTGGAGGGTGGGCAGAGCTCTGTGGATGCCTGAGGCCAGAGGGACTTGGCTGCCAGCACCAAGGATGTGGCCCTCACTCCAGCACATACCGACGCCCCTGGCCTTTGACGGCACGTGTATGTTTTCAGACTCTCAGTCCTCTGTGCCGAGTGTCTCATCTTTATCTGCCTGTGTGCCCAAGTACAGGCAAGACCTTTGGACCTTTT